ATTTTTTTTTTTTTTAAATATATTACCAGTAATACATTTTTTTTTTATTAGCTATAATTTTTTTGAAAAAAATATTACCAGTAATACATTTTTGAAAAAAATATTACCAGCTATATACATTTTTGAAAAAATATTACCAGTAATTTTTGAAAAAATATTACCAGTTTTTTTTAAAATATTACCAGCTATAATTTTTGAAAAAATATTACTAGTAATACATTTTTGAAAAAATATTACCAGCTATACATTTTTGAAAAAAATATTACCAGTAATACATTTTTTTTTTTTTTAAGCTATAATTTTTGAAAAAAATATTACCAGTAATACATTTTGAAAAAAATATTACCAGCTATTTTTTGAAAAATAAAATACATTTTTTTTTAAATATTACAGCTATAATTTTTGAAAAAAATATTACCAGTAATACATTTTTGAAAAAAATATTACCAGCTATACATTTTTGAAAAAAAATATTACCAGTAATACATTTTTGAAAAGAAATATTGCCAGCTATACATTTTTGAAAAAGGAAAAAATTACCAGCTATACATTTAAAAAAAAAAATAATATTACCAGTGAAGGAAAATTATTACCAGAAATAGAATTTTGACAGAAAAAATATTACTGGAAATAGATTTTTTGAAAAAAAATATTACCAACAATGAAAATTTTGTCGGCATTAAATAACCCATTGAGGTTGATATACCGTAAAACAAAAGAAACCAAACCAAACCTGAGGCAATCATCTGTATGGGCAATGCATTTATATTAACCTTCATATTAACTTTAAACCTTTTCCTAGGTTTCTATTGTGGATGCTTTCTTGTCTTCAGTTGTCCATAGAAAAGTTGTTAGTTGAGTTCTGTTATCGGCATTCTCATATGGTGGGTACATGACATCTGGTTAAAGACTATTATTGTTTCAATGCTGTTGCATTCGGATCTTTGGAGAAGAAAAGTGTCTGGAATCAAAGACTGTTAATCAAAGACTCTTTAATGTTAAGGATGCATCTCAGGTATTTTTTGAATGGAATTGCTCAAGCCATTTTATATGTCTCTGGGATGAAGAGTTTAAAAAGAGTACCGCAGAGGTATTAAGATACTGGCTGTATACACACTTACTTTAGTCTTGAAGGTAATTCCTCTATCTGACCAAAGTTGACCTTCCATTTCACCAAATGCAACACTCGCCTTCTGAATGCACCAAAAAATCTCAACATCCAGGGCACCATCTTTTGATATAATCAGTTAAATACCATATGCGATTCCTGCCTTGGTTGGCAACCAGTCTATCACAAGAAGAAACAGCAACCAATTGTGGGAAAATCTTGGGTGGTCATGACTCTTTCAATTCATGACTGACTAGGTTGCAGTTTCTTCCTGTGATAGACTGGTTGCCAACCAAGGCAACAGAACCCAGTCTGTCCTGCTATTCAACCCAGAGCTGTGCAGGGGGGGGAGAAAAGATGGATTCATATTATACAAGGGTATTTGTGTGTAAGTGAATGCAATGAACCCCAACTGGAATTTGAACTCAACTCTCTACTTTCTCATTCTGAGCTGTAATCTATTACACTATCACACACACACACACACACACACACGCGCGTGCACATATATATACATGTAACTGATACATTAAAATATAGACATATTGAACACCCAGACACCCCTGTCTAGCAAAATAGATTTATCTGTAACCTTGGAAACATGAATTTTGTTTTAGGTGTGTATTTAAAACCCAGTAATTTTAAAAGTTACTCCAAAATTCACTTGAAGATGAAATGGAACTAATGTCTTTAATTTAATTACAAAATTAAATTGGGGCTTTTAGCTTCCATTTTTGAAACATGGTTAGAACTGTGTAGCAAAAAAAAACCATATTTTTAAATCAATTAATTTATATATATATATATATATATATATATATATATATATATATATATCTGCTCCCTCTCTCTCTCTCTTTCTCTCTCTTGTATTCACCAGGGCATTTAGAAGTGTTGAATCACCTACTTTGACTTCATCCTTGTGTGCGTATATATATATATATATATATATATATATATATATATATATATATATATGTATATTCAGTTGTTCTCTCAACCCTTCTCTATGGTGCTGAAACTTGGACCCTATACCACAAGCACATAAATCAACTTGATGCCTTTCACATGCACTGTCTTCGTGCCATATGAGATATAAAATGTGATGACAGGTCAAGAATAGTGCAATACTGAAGAAATGTAACAACATCACAGACACTGAAATCATTCTAGCAAAGATACAACTTAGGTGGGCTGGTCATGCTGGGAGAATGGATGAGCATAGGATTCCAAAAAACGTGCAGTATGGGCAACTATCAACCTGCAAGCGTTCAGTTGGACGTCCGCTACAAAGACAAATTGGAAGACAGCTTGAAATGTCTCAGCTTTGATATGAAAACCTGGGAAGCCCAAGCATCAAATCATGAAAGAGTGGTGTAATACATGTTACATTAAAGTTAAAGTGTTTTGAAGACGGTAGACTGAAACCCCATGATCAGCTTCATTAAGCTCTGTAGCAGAGACACCATCAAAATCCTGCTTTAACAAATTTCATCTGTCAGTGTGGCTTTGTCACCCGCAGCAAGCCTGGGCTAGTATCACTCTTAAGAAAGCAAAAATGAAATATGTCTTTCCTTTACCTGATTTTCTCCAAAATATCCCCTACTGTCATGCATAAGTGTAAAATGAAAGGCACCATCCAATGCTGACCCCCATTTATTGTTTGCACTAGGAAAGTCCACCATATTTATATATATATATATATATATATATATATATATTGTTATATTTATTTGTGTGTGTGTATATATATATATAGTGTTATATTTATTGTGTGTGTATATATATATATATATATATATATATATATATAGTATTATATTTATTGTGTGTATATACATACATATATATATATATATATTTATGTGTGTATATATATATATATATTTATATATATATATATATATATATATATATATATATATATATATATATATATATATATATATATATAAAGTGTGTGTATATAAATATAAATAAATATATATTTATATATAAATTATTTATATATTATATACACAGTACTTATTAGAAAGCACTCAATATCAGAGATAGAGCTAACATATTTGGTTGGATTGATGTGAGTTTGTGACCCTGGGTTTCACACTTTTGCAGTCATCAGCCAAACGTTTTTCTGACGATTGCAAAAGCATGAAACCCAGGGTCACAAACTCATACCAATCCAACCAAAATATATATATATATATATATATATATATATATATATATATATATTTCTTTATTAAGTTTCTTCAGTGAACAGTCTATTAGAGGTAATACACACTATTTTTTTAAATATTTTTTTTCAAATATCCACTAAAATTAACATTTAAAGTAATAAAAATGCTGAATGAAAAATAAATCCAGTAATTCCCTCGGAATTACTTTAATTACATTTCGAATACAAAACTGAACAGATATTGTTTTTTTGGAAAAAATCTGAACGAGGAAGTATGCATTCCTTATTCGTAAATAGAAACTTGTTGGACTGTGATGTTCTCTGTGGCCGAGTGGACGAGAGCATACCAGATCAAACAGTGGCTTGACCTGAAAAGGGGGGGACACTGGTTTGAAACCTGTTGTAGTGAACATTTTTTCAAGTTTTCTCAAATACACAGGCCAACAGTTAAAATATACACTATTTAAAATGAAATAAAAAAATTGGATGTATCCGCTAAAAAATAAAGTTTGAAGTATATATATATATATATATATATATATATATATATATAAATAAATAAAAAGAAAGAACAGTAAGATATATAATCCGGTGTTCTTATAGATATTTTTATTTTTACAAAATAGTGCTCAATGTAAATTTACAGAGCATTAATATTATAAACTAATTGATTTAAAATATGTTTTTTCGTTACACAGTTCTAACCATGTTTCAAAATTTTTGAAACATGGTTAGAACTGTGTAGCGAAAAAAAACACATTTTAAATCAATTTATATATATATATATATATATATATATATATATATATATACACCTCGTAAGCCAGACAAACCTACCTAGGTTTCACCTAAACGGATCGTCAGGGAAAGTTTGGTGCTCTACGGTTGTATTGAGCTCTTTTGTTAGTTAGTTGTTACTCGTATCGGGTTTTTTCTTTTGGGCTTCAGACCTGCATCTGTGCGATTTTTTGTCGGCAGAAGTTCATGTTTGTAGCTCTTTCTTTTTTTAAAACCTTTTTTTCCTCGAGATTGATTTGATTAGCAAATCAAAAATTCGAGGGTTTTTCGAAACGAGTCTAGTCTAGTTATCTATATATATATATATATATATATATATATATATATATATATAATTTTCTCATTAGCAATCCAACTTTAAAGACAAATTCTAACCTTACATATCCACTTTTAACATGAGTCAGTTTAGTCCTACAGGATCTGGCATTGATTGGTTGTTACAAAATGGGGTGTCAGCTAACATATTCAGAATTCAGTGTGAAACTCTGACATTATGAAAATTGTTATTCATAGGATTCATAATTTGTGATAACTGACATTCATAAAGATCATCAGGGAATCAGTATTGAACAATAATAATTTACCCTACAGGTCTTTGGGGAATAATCTATCAGGTACATTTAATTCTGCTTAAAAGATATTGAGTTAGGATTAGATAGATAGATAGATAGATAGATAGATAGATAGATAGATAGATAGATAGATAGAAAAAGACTGAGATAGATAGATAGATAGATAGATAGATAGATAGATAGATAGATAGAAAAGACTGAGATAGATAGATAGATAGATAGATAGATAGATAGATAGATAGAAAGAAAAAGACTAAGATGGATAGATAAACAGAAACAGACTGATATAGATAGATAGATAACATGCTTAAAACAACTTTGATATATATATGACTAGAACATGTTAGATAGATAGATAGATAGATAGATAGATAGATAGATAGATAGATAGATAAAGAGAGAGAGAGAGATGTACAGGCTGTGATAGATAGATAGTTATGATACAATAAAGACAACATTGATAGATATAACTAAGCCATGTTTGATAGATAGATAGATAGATAGATAGATAGATAGATAGACAGACATGCTAAAGACCTTTGATATATATATAACTAGACCATGTTTGATAGATAGATAGATAGATAGATAGATGGATAGATATGATATGCTAAAAACAACTTTGATAAATATGACTAAACCATGTTTGATAGATAGAGAGAGAGAGAGAGAGACAGAGAGAGAAAGAGTGAGAGATCTGTGCAAGTTGTGATAGATAGATAGATAGATATGATGAGACAGAGCTTGATAACATTTTGTCACTTCTAGTAAAACAAGAGACAAAAGATTTAGAATTCATCTTTAGGCTAGAAATGTTATAACAATAATAAAAACCATGTCAGTTATTGATTGAATTTTTTCCGTTGAGAAAACAATATTGAAATTTTGTTGCTTCGAGATGTATTATTTGTTCATTAGAAACTGGTTTCTAAGTTGATATAAATTTTTGCTTCAGTGGAAATATTAGAAACGTCTTCATTCACTATTATCCTTCTTTACACACAGATGATTTTCTGCATTTTTAATTCCCCAATGTTCCAGCTATTAAATCTAACCAACCTGCAGAAGATTATATTGCTCCAAGTTTTCCCCTCTGATTTGTCCCATGGAACAATAGTGTAACAGATTTAAATGTTGGTTGATAAATTTGATGAAATAGTAATCGCGAGTTCAATCCCTTGCCTGAACAATAACTAAGCTGTATTAAATAAGAACTAAATGAGATACCCCTGAACATGGTAAACAAGGACAATCTATCACCATAGATTAATTAAATTGTTCAGTCTAAAATTTGCTGAAGGTTGCTTTAACCTAAAAGTACCTGCTAAAAGCCAGTTGGGTAGAAGACCCAAAATGTTGTGATACCAAAGCAACAAAGTTGGAAACAATGTGTATGTAATGTTTGATATATCAGAGTGGGTAGAATGTTCACATTCTGACCATGAGATTCAGGTTCGAATCTCACTGTAGTTGATTTGTCAGGAAAGAGACTTCCTGATGTTATCAGACTGGAGGGGTCGATCCCAGCATACGGCACCTTTGGAAAGTACCTGAAAACCATACCACAGGTTGACCCAAGCTTTGTGAGTGAAATTGGGTAGATGTTACCCTTAGGTGTCATAGATAACTGTGCTAGCACAAAATCACAAGTCATCATGGCTGAGGGCTTGAGCGTGCTGGCCTTGTTCAAATTGTTGATCACACTAGATAACACGCTCTTTCCCAGAAACTGTAACTAATGTCTGATCAGCATAGTTGTAGTATAAACCACTGGTGAGCTCTGTGGATGTTGAATAAGCACAAATCCGCCTGAGCAAGCGTCTGCAATAGGGATTGGCTAGCCACCCTAGTAGAGAGGTATCCTCGAATATGAGTGGCCAGCTATACATATCAGAGATGATGTGTGGCATTAGTGAGAAAATAATAGCATATACAACAGTTAAATAGGAAAGAAGGAAAAGTAATGCTTATTTTGAAACCTAAGTATTCCAAGAAATAGGATTCAAGACAAATCTTTTTAAAAAGAAACTATGATCTGGAAATGAAATGAAAGTCGTGAATGCATGTATACTGAATCCATCTTAAAAATTCAGGATGTGGAACTAGTAACTACTAAACACTTAAGAAAACACAGCTATAACAAATTAAGTATAGGAGAAGAGGGAATTTAACATAGAACAGGTTGTGCCAGGGGTAGTTTCACCCAACACTGCAAATGGCTACAAAGCCAAAATATTGACCTGAAAACTCAAGTCATGTTCTTAAATAGCCTCATCAAATCAAGTCTACAGGCAGTGTCACTCAGCATTGTCAATTGCTACAAAGCCAAAATATTGACCTGAAAACTCAAGTCATGTTCTTAAATAGCCTCGTCAGATCAAGTCTAGAGGCAGTGTCACTCATCATTGTCAATTGCTACAAAACCAAAACATTAACCTGAAAAACTCAAGTCATGTTCTTAAATAGCCTCGTCAAATCAAGTCTACAGGCAGTGTCACTCAGCATTGTCAATTGCTACAAAGCCAAAATATTGACCTGAAAACTCAAGTCATGTTCTTAAATAGCCTCGTCAAATCAAGTCTACAGGCAGTGTCACTCAGCATTGTCAATTGCTACAAAGCCAAAATATTGACCTGAAAACTCAAGTCATGTTCTTAAATAGCCTCGTCAGATCAAGTCTACAGGCAGTGTCACTCAGCATTATCAATTGCTACAAAACCAAAACATTAACCTGAAAACTCAAGTCATGTTCTTAAATAAACTCATCAGATCGAGACTTTCATATGGATGCTTTGCTGTATACTGACGAGTTCCCACCTCAACCGAGTGGGTTCTATTTATACTTGCGGACATCACAGATGCTATGTGTGGAGCCAAATCTGTTCAGAAATATCTAAACTGTCAGCTGTATACATCCATTTGATCAATGGTTAAAAATGTATTTAAGCAAGTGAAGCTTATGGATCTTGGTAAAGACCATATTTCTTCAAACATTGTGGACTGATGCTATAGAATAAAAAAAAAAAAACTGTACAAAATAACAGAAACCACATTACATGAGGATTTTCAACAGCAGCAACAATTAAAATGTAACTTGAAGAGAAAATAATGATATAACCAAGATGTTAACATTCCACACTACATGTGAATGTGTGTGTGTGTGTGTGTAGATACACAGATAATGTAATGGTTAGCAGCTTAGAATGTGCAATCATTAAAATAACTTTCCTTATCTTTGTTGTTTTTATCACAATGCTTCAACTCCATCTATTCTGATTTTTCTCAGGAGATGCATCCTGTAATCCTTTAGCAACACTTTATATATATATATTTCAGCTTAAATTTATTACATTTTGTGTATCTATGCATGTACATATAGTAAAATAGCTAGAGTTTTCAATGTATAATACAGAGCTTTACATGTTAATTTTAAATATTTTGTATATTCTGAATTCTTACCCATCTGCAGCTGTCAGTTTCTACATATGCAATCATCAGGTGATGCAGTAAGGATATCATACATACACACACATATTTCATTTTACTTAAATGTTATATTAGAATCTGTAAAATTTAGTCAAACAAAAAGAATTAAGATTGTTCAAATAAAAATTGGGTAAATACTTCTATTACCATCTGTTAAAAAACACTGAATTTTCTTTTAATTAACATTTGTAAAAACTGCCTCAAACTCCAGCTTGTCAAAATCAGGTGTGTATTGAAGATGTGTTCATGAAATGTATCATTCACTGAAATCCATTTTTCATTTCACAATAAACTTCATCCATGTCAGCTTGTGATCTACTTGTCAATGTTGCACATATGTTCTAATATTGTGGCTTTTACTCTGTATGTGAATGTGTGTGTGTGTGTGTGTGTGTGTAGATACACAGATAATGTAATGGTTAGCAGCTTAGAATGTGCAATCATTAAAATAACTTTCCTTATGTTAAATTATCTTATATGTTATTAAATAGCCTTGTTAGATCAAAACTTTCACATGTATGTCATGCAATATCTGAACTGTCAGTTGTATACAGCCAGTTTCTAAGATAAATGGTTAAAATGACATTGAATGAGTGAAGCCTGAAAGTCCTGGAGAAGATCATTCTTCATCAAATCTCATGGACTCTTATTATAGAATCCCAAAGAAGGAACTGTATCAAATAATAAAAATCATATCATTTGAGGATTATCAAGAGTGGCAACAACTAAAATGGATAGCACATGTAACTTTAAGAGAAAACAATGACATAATCAAGATACTGACATTCCATCCTATACCAAATAAAAGTTTAGGGAGGAAAACCCCATCAATAGTGGAAAGAGCAATAACAGCTACTGGACTTGAGAAACCTATTTTCCTGAAAAATTGTTTCAAGAGAAAAATCTTATAAATTACTGCAGACAACTGTACTGGCTGCTTGGTCAATGAATGCTGAATGTTTCCTTATAAGGAAACAGTTATTATTACCATTGTCATAAGAGACCTGGAGCAATAGAAATAAGTTTTACACAGGGAATACAGTCTGATAAGAAAAGAATGCATTTTTTTCATTAATCAAATAAATGATATTGAAATAAGTTTCTTTTCTGAGAAGTTTTTAGTATCACCCAAAGTAAAGCTTATAAGTCCCCTCCCCTCAAGGTTGATGATTATTGAATGAGGTGTGTGAAATGAATGTAAGAGAAAGAAATAAGATTATATGCAAGATTGTGAGGATAAGGAGAATAGACAATTGATATTTTTAATGTTGCCTTTGTAAGAGCATAAATATAAAAATATTTCTGGAATGTTTCAATATTATACAAAACATATGATGAGATTAAATGCGCCTTTATTTTCAAAAGACAATCCCATCAAATAATATTTTCTCAGGCAACGTACTATAAGCAGATTTGAAAGTTGTTATACATTCAGTTGTAGAATTTATCAGGTCTGCTATCTTCTCTTTTGGAATAGCTTATCTATTGACAATATCCAAAAAGAATATACCATATTACCAAACCTAACCTGGCATCTCAGCTTCAGTCAATTCTGACCACACTAAAGTAGATTGCTTTTGTATCCTCAAAGAGGTTACAATTAAAGGTGGTACTTGAGTGAAGGAACAGCAACATGTGAGTAGATGAAGGAAGAGAGGCTTATTGTAAAAGAGAATACACTACTGAAAGACAGGGAATGAGGTAGTAGGCTAATAATTTCCAAAGCCAGCCCCAGGTATATCCTGTGCTCACTATATATATCCACAGATATAGTCAGTCTACATAGGCGATAGGGAGTGTGGGACATACCATTACAACAATTCCCTTGGCATTTTCTATAAATATTTTCATGATAATTGTTCTGATGAGCTTTCCTCCTTCAATATAATCTTTCCACGTCATGTCATTGGAAAATGTTAGTCTGAGAAGGTGTACTGAACAATCTCCTCAAAGATGAGGAAGAGACTTGAAGCAACAGAAATAAGTTTTACACAGGGAATACAGTCTGATTAGAAAAGAATGTATTTTTTTCATTAATCAAATAAATGATATTGAAATAAGTTTCTTTTCTGAGAAGTTTTTAGTTTAACCCAAAGTAAAGCTCAAGAGTCCCTCCCCTGAAGGTTGATGATTATTGAATGAGGTGTGTGATTGTTATGATGTTGATTTGGGGTTAGTAGAGACAAACGCCAAATAACACGTAACAATAAAAAGGGTTTTAATAGGTTGGTAAAAAGGTACAGAAATCGCCTGAGTAGTCAATAACTAGCTCAGCTAAGAACTTCTCTGCCTATCTGTCTTAGTATTTATCGATCCACCCACGAGGATTGAATATGGCACATATTCGGCAAAGCTTCGTCCGGGTTCCTCTCTGCTAACGCAGAGAGTTCGACAAACATCGCTAACAGTCAAAGACTGTATCACGACTCAGCTAGACTCTGTCTATCTATCTTCCCCATGTCAACTGACATGCCACTATTTAAAGTCTTTGTTCACAGACGCAGACAAGTTCATCTTCAAGACGGGTGGTAGGTTTCCGACACAACAGTGATATAAATGTAAGAGAAAGAAATAAGATTATATGCAAGATTGTGAGGATAAGGAGAATAGACAATAGATGCACTGTCAATGAATGCTGAATGTTTCCTTATAAGGAAACAGCTAATATTTCCATTGCCATAGGATTATTGGAAATGTATTCTTAAACTGTAAAAATAATGTAATTTTTCATTAATAAAATAATAAAATCAAATCTTTATTAAATTATTTTTTAAATTTATTCATTTATTCTTGTGAAGTGCAAAATGAAATTGGACAGCAGTCCCCAACTGCACCAACACATACAGACGCACAAAATATACACAGAATCAGAAGAAATGTAATACATTTAAAATACTTTAAAAATTGCTAGCTTGCAGCAATGTTCATTTTACACAGGTCCAAGGATAAAAGCTACCCCTCAAGCACTTTGTCCTAGAACTAATAGAACTGAAACATCACCCTAAGGGTAACAGTTTAAACAAGTGGTACCCATGATGTGTAATGTCATACATTGTGCTTTTTACTCTGTTGCAACAATGAGAATTATATGCCCTGCCATTAGCTAAGATAAATAATTTGCCATTGTGTTTTGATTGTAAGGAAAGTCAGAAGAAAAAGAAATATCAAAGATGCTGTTTGGTTTTAGTGAGAAAAAGAAAGCATACATAATCATAAGAAAGAAAAAGAGACAAATAAAAGAAAAGAAGAGAAAAGGATAAAGAAAGAATGAAAAGAGAAAAAGAATGAAGATAAGAAAAAAGAATGAAGAAAAGAAAGAAAAGAAAGAAAGAAAAAGAAAGAAGAAAAAGGAAATAGAAAAAAAAACAAAGAAAGAGAAGATAAAGGTTATGATAACACTCTCATGCATTTAACGACTGTTCCAAGGAAATAGAAAACCATATCAATTTTTAATCTTTTTGTTTATATCTTCTCCTTTAAATAATAACTTACATTCATAATTATTACTGCAATATTTTGTTGTTAAGCTCAAATATTTAATGATTCAATAATGGAATTTCCACAGGTATTTTATTGCTGTTAAAATAGGTAAGGAATATATTCTATTATAAAATTAAATATTGAGGCTCATTAAAAAATTCAAAATACTTTTCACTGGTAGTGCTAGTGATTTATTAGTCTGGAACAATATTAAATCGGCTGCAACACTTTCTCCAAAAAAATAGTTTCAAAATTTTAACACCCTGTCATTTCGATTAAAAAAAACATAAGGTCAACCACATCACAAAAAAAACAACTGTTTGCCCTAGCTATGTCTACCTTTTTTAATATAGAGTAAAACCAGACATATGTCAATTTTTTTTCATTCTCATGCAAATCAGACTCATGTCAAACTTTTTAATCTGCAGGCAAACCAGACTTATGTCAAGCTTTATCATTTTCATGTAAACTGGACATGTGTCAGGTTTTTTGATATGCATGCAAATCAGACTGAAGTCAAGATTCTTCATTCTCATTTAAACCAGACTCAAGTCAAGATTTTCATTCTTGCACAATGTTAGTTTTTTTTTTTTTTATTCTTGTTCAAACCAGACTCAAGTCAAGATTTTTTATTCTCTTGCAAACTGAACTCATTTCAAAATTTTTTATTCTCTTGCAAACCAAGCTCAAGTCAGGATTTTTGATTTGCATGCAAACCGGAATAAACTCAAGATTTTTTATTCTCTTGCAAACCAGACTCAAGTCAAGATTTTTGATTTGCATGCAAACCGGGCTTATGTCTAACTTTTTGGTTCTCATGCAAATGAGATGTAGTCCCATGTAAAATGTACCTATGTCTGCCTTTTTGACTTTTGTGCAAATCAGAACTATTTATAAATTTCTGTTATTTAGCAGAACACAGAATTTGACATTAAATAACTTAGGAGAGGTTGATAAACATTAAATTAAAACCAAACCAAACCAAACTTTTAATTCTATCAGTTTTTTTGGTGCATTCCACAAACTTTGTAGAACTAACCAATGGATAACCTAATTTGTTAAACTTTGAAATTTGCCTGCCATCTTCATTAACAACTATTTTTTCTGACACAGAACATTTCAAACTACCCAAAAGCCAATTAACTATGATGGACACTGTCATTGCAGAGCTGCCATCCGTAGACAGATGCTAACAATGATCTATCAGTAAGATATGAAGTATAGGATCAACTTTTTGCCAACGAAATTTATAATGACATTTTCTTGGCATTTCTTTGCCATTGGTGGTCATTTTTGGCACAAGTAATAATTTATGTTTTCAGATGCTTGTAAAAATGCGTAAATTTGAAGCCTATGTATTTCCATTTATTTCGCTATTTCTGGTTGTGGCTGTTCTTGCTTTTTTGGCTCAAAGGTTACGAAGAGGGTCATCTTTTTCTTAAGAACAGGGAGTAAAGAAAATGCAAAATGAGAAACAAGAATTGGACAAAGTTGTTTGATAAAATCATTTTTTCTATTTTATGACTTTTGGCAATTGCTTAACGTGAGTGCCTGGCCAAGTGGTTAAAATGTTAGCATTCTGACCATGAAACCCATGTTCGAATTTCACCATGGTCGATTTGCCATGGCTGAGTAGATGTCCCCAGCATGCAGCACCAGTGGGAATTGTCTGAAAACTATATCACTGGTAGACCTAAATAAAAATAACTGGGTAGTCAAAATTGCTTGGAATCCAAGTGTTTGAGTGTACTAGTCTTGATTATGCATTCTTTCCCAGAAATTATAACTAAGTTCTGCTCAATATAGTTGCAGTATAAACAACAGGTAGGCTCTGAGGGTGTTGAAAAAACACAAATATGCCTGAGAAGACGTATGCAACAAGAGTTCATAACCTACTCTAGTAAATAGTCATACATGGAGATGAGCAGCCAACCAGGATCTTTTGAGTAAATTTCCATAAATACTCTTGGAATCAGTGAGTCATATCTCAATATACAACTGCAACATACACTACAACTTGTTTCCTCAGACACACATGCTTTAAAAGACCTATTCCAGCTAGCCTTTTCCAATTTTTGGTCATGCTTTAAAAATAAAATACAGAGAGAATGCTTGGTACATATTTCATGAACAATAAAGGATATGAATCTCTGCGCTATATGGACACATGAGTGACCTAGAGCAGGGGTTGTTAACCTATGGCATGCATGCCACATGTGGCACACCAAGCAATTTCCAGTGCCACGCAGCCACAAATGACATCATGAAGTCTGAACCAATGACTACTACAACGCAAAGAAGATATTTTGCTGTTTCAATTTTAATATATACTAAAGTTTATATACTATATATTACTATATAAAATATATTTTAGAACAGGTTTATTGACCTTGACTTGTATAAAAATATGTATGCTGTTTGACACACTGATTGATTTTAAAAGCCTAAGTCGGCATATAGTTAGCAAAAGATTGCTGACCCCTGTCCTAGAAATGTGGTTCTCAATTGTTTCTTTCCTGATGCACCTTTTTCAATATGTGTCAGAACATCTTTCTCCTATTTATACTAAACACTTCAAATACTTTGCATATGAATCAGTGAGAAGAAATTTTGTATAGAAGATAAAGAGAAGGAACAAATAATAATAATATAGCTGTGCAAGGGGTGATTTCACCCAACACTGCAACTTGCTACAAAACCAAAACATTAAAGTAAAACCTCGAATCCTGATCTTAAACAGACTTGACTTTTAAAAGGATGTTGTGCATAGTGCAAAAGTTGTTCAGAAATACGTGGGAAAGTCAAAAATTATCCACACCCTTGTCTAAAGATATGTTATGTCAAAGTAAGGATATTTTTTAACTTATAGTGTTGATATCTATTGTTTATCATGGGGAACTATGCTAAAAGTATAAAAGAGTTATAATAATAATAATTAATAATAATGCATTATTAACAATAATGCATTATTAACAATAATGCATTATTAACAATAATGCATTATTAACAATAATGGTATATAATCATTTTATGCAGGGGCTCCCTTCAGGCATGAAAACTATTTCAAGGGATCCACAAGGCTAAAAAGGTTGGTACGGATGAACATAACTCTCCACAGATTCCTCTTCTTAATTGCCAAACATTCTTGGGAAAGATAGGGGAGTGGTTTTCCATTGCTTTCTCTGCAATTGCATAAGGTAGTTCTTTGAGAGTGTTTTACTTACAGGCTTACACACTCTTTTTAGCACTAATCTAGAATATTATGGATAGAGAATTTTTTCCACATACCTGAAAATGGAACCAAGCAGAAAGAGTAATGTATATTTGTTTTCCCGACAGTAAAAGTGCAACTATATACATGGTTCTTGGAAATTTCA